GCAAAACCGAGTCCCCTTGCTGCTTCGTAAACGGTTCACGTTTCTCGTGCAGGAGTGGCCAATGGCTCATCTCCTGCTCCTACCCGTGAAGCCACCGTCAGCGATGTTGAACATGAATCGGAAGTTGATGTTTCTGTCCTCCTTCTTTCCATCCTCCTCCTCCTCTTTGTCCCCGTTCTGCTGAGCCTCACTCTGCTCCTTCTCCTCCGCCTTGGCGTCCTCTGCTTGGCAAACACCAGAAACGGCGCCTGCCTGACCCCACTCCACCCAAAGACCGACTGCTGTCATCCTCGCTCTGCCAGAGCCCCTGCTGGAGAAGTCACCAGCCCACTCTCCTCTCCCCAGCAGCTGACCAGCTGCCTCCTCCAGCACATCCTTCTGCCAACGGCTGTCCTTGCCACCGCCCCGCGCCCTCGCCTCTGCCCAGGCACCCACCTGGCTTCGGAGACCCTTGGCACCACTGCTTGCCCCAAAGCCTCCTCATGCCTCACCTGCTTTGACTTCTTTGTCCTCCCCTTTGCTGGGGCTGCTGTTCAGCTCCGGCTTCTCCAAAAGCTTCTCTTTCTCTGGAACCCCCTCATCTGCAGAAGGAAACGGGACTATGAGAAAAGCTTGGGGTGAAAAACGCTCTTCAGGGAACAGCAACTTATTGTCCGGACGGACTTTCCCTAGTAGAGTAAAGCATTCCTGTTGTACACACCTTCGAGGGATTCAAAAAACTTCTCACAGAATATGCTGCATTTTATCAAGGAAACATACTGTTTTCCCTCTTTCTCGAGACATACGGAGGAACATACATAGGAAAAGAAAACGCCCCCAAAATGAGCACTTTTCATAACATGCACCTGGAATTGTTTTGTTGGGTTTTTTTCCAGGAATTGCTACAGGACCATGTGACATTCAGGTTTCCCACTGTGATATGGAGAAGAGAAAGACCCAAGAAAGGTGCAGGTGCCGGAGCCTCCCACCGGAGAGAAAGACGGTGCATCAGGAGCACCAGCACATCCATGGCTGCGAGGGCGCGTGCCCTGCTCCCCACACGACTTCGGCCGTAGAACTCCTCCAGCACCAGTCGGTGTCACCGCTGGGTGCCACAGCCCCATGGACGTCCCAGCCACGGCTGAGAGGGGAGCCAGCACATGGGGATCATCTTCATCCAAGCCACGAAGACTCACCTTTCGCCACGGGCTCGGGAGAAGACTCGGCCCTTTCGCTCTCCTCTTGCTTCTCTTCCCTCGGTTTCTCCTTGCTCTCACAGCTTTCTGGGTGCTCTTCACCTTCCACCTTCTCGGCGCTCACAGACACCTTAACGTAAGTGCCAACGCCAGATCAGCCATCTCGCCACTCCCTCAGGGAGCGCTCCGAGTTGTGGGGCAGGCCACAAGAAGGCTTCCTGGAGGAGATGCCAAAAGAAGCCACCCTACCTGGCTCTCAGACACCTTCCTGGACTTCTGCTCCACTTGGTCCTTTTCCTCCTGGAACCCAAGCTGTGTTTCTGTTTTGTCTGCAGCAACAGCAAAGCAAGGGAGCTACAGAACTATGGAACTCTATATATGGAACTATGGGCTCTATAAGGGTCTGTAGGGCTGCTATAAGGGCCTGTAAGAAGGAAGGGTCTGTCAGAGGAGAGAAGAAAGGGTGGGTCTCTAAGA